CGGGCTCTGTGGACGGGGCTGGCGCTGCTGCTGTGGGTACCCTGGCTGGCTAGGGCAGCCGGGATGGGCTGTGCCCGGGCCTTGCTGCTGGCGCTGCGGTGCCTTGGTATCTGCAAGTGGCCTGGCCTGTGTGTGACCTCCTGGACGGGCCTGCTCCGCTCCTGTCTGCACAGCCTGATGCTAGTGGCCTTGCTGTCATTGCTGCTGGCCTGGAGGCTCTTCCAGAAGGCCCAGTGCTTCCTGGGCTGGCTGCCCTGCCAGGTGGGTAGGCTGAGGCAGCCCCGCTGAGGGTGGGCCTGCTGCCCTGGGTCTCCGGGGTCCCCTGATTGTCTCCTCGCCTGCCCCACCCAGGCTCTACTGGGAAGCCGCACGGTACTGGAGCTTCTGGCACTGCTGAGATGTCTGTTCTGGCACCTGGCCTACCTCGTCACCTGGACCACCTGCCTGGCCTCCCACCTGCTGCAGGCGGCTTTCGAGCACACAGCCCAGCTGGCCCGGGTGCAGGAGGCCTCTGGGCCCTTGTCTGGGTCCCCACTCCCTGCTTCGTCCTCCACCCTCGAGTCTTGGCCCCTTCTGCAGGAGCCCGGGAGCCCCAGACAATAAAAGTTCCCATTGTCCTCTCCTGGAGCGACTAGGTGTATGCCCAGCCTCCAGGGGGCTGGCCAGGTGCTCTGTGTGCTTGCGTACACACCCAGGGCTGCTCTGGGAAGGAAATCGCTGTCCACACACACCTTCCAGGTGCCACAGAGCATCTCAGACACCGCACATTGAGTGGTTTCAACCTCTCTATGCAGGCATCTGGCTTCATTAGCAGCATTTTACAGATGAGAAAATAGAGCCTCAGGGTTGAACTTTCCCAGGGGCACAGAGCAAGTCAAGGGCAGAGGCAGCCCTGGTGTCTAGGTTCAGTGTTTCCCAGAACCCAGATCTTTGTTGGAGTCCATGCCCCTGGCTCTCCTTGGTGCCGCACAGGGGTTTAGGGGAGATGGGCAGTTGGAGGCTCTGGCCTCTGGGGGGTGCCAGGGTCTTACATTTCAAGGATGTAGAAAATTCTTGCCATTCATGGTGGCCCTCACCTGTAATCCCAGCACTTGGGAGGCTGAGGAAGGGGGATTGCTGTGAGTTCGAGACCAGCCTGGGCTGCATAGTGAGTTCCAGGTCAGTCCCAACTAAACAGTGCGACCCTGTCTTAAAAAACCAAAAACCAAAAACACACACACACAAAAGGAGAGAAAATTCTTTTGAGTAGTGACTTCTGAGCTAGGCCATCCACTCATCCACACATCGCTACTCATCCACTGATCCACCCACTGCCAAACCCACACCCCATCCCTCCCTCCCTCCCTCCATCCCTCCCTCTGTCCATCCCTTTGTCCATCCTCCCATCCTCACTAACACCTCCACTATCCTGAAACACCGTCCACCTCCCTGCGAGTATGGAAACTTAGGCGGCATCTCCGCAGCTCCCCTTCCCTGTGAGCCAGGACAGTACCCAGCGGGGGGGAGTGGTGGCAGATCTCCGCCCAGCCCTTACAGCAACTCCACCTGTGATTCTGCTGGGGAACCAGCATCACCCTGCTCCAGGCCCAAGGGTGGGAGGATGGAGCAGCCTGGGCAGTGGTTAGTGCTGAGACCTCTCTCGGACCCCAAGCTGTGGGTTGTTGCTGCTTATGCCGCTAGTACCCAACTCCTTTTATTTTTGCATTACTGGGAATTGAACCCAGATCCTTCCCGCTGAACTACAACCCACCCCTACCTTTTGAAAAATTTGAGACAGGGTTACACTAAGTCACCAAACTGCCCAGGCTGAGCTGGAACTTGAGATTCTCCTGCCTCAGCCTCCCACAGTGCTGGCATGCTCAGTTTAGGCCTTTGGCATCATGGGGTCAGGGCTTGGGAAGAAGGACAGAATCCGCTCTCAGTAGTCTCTCAGAACAGTGGGCAGAGCAGACACTGGGGACTGGAAGCCTTGGGCTTTGATCCTGTACCCATGACCCCTCTGCTATGTGACCTGCATAAGTCACGGTACTCTCTCCCGGGAGCTTCCCTCAGTTTCCCGGCCTTGAGCAGGACAGTCACAACACCTAGGGCCACCTGGAGGTGTTGCCAGGTCTGTGGGTGCGGGGTACACTGGGGCTGGCACGGGGGCCCTTGCTGGAACCCCAACTGCTGAGGCTTCTCTCCCAGGCTTCCAGCTTCTGGGGGCTGCAGGCCAGGCAGGGGCCAGGCTGTCAGTGCGTCCCTCTCAGGATGTGAGTGTGGAGGGGCCTGGCCTGGGGGGGCTGGCAGGCCGGCCAGCAGCTCCACGCAATCTGTCTGCTATGCAGCCTGGGCCTGGCCTGTATTTATTTATGCTGAGTGTATATTTATATCAGCTCCTTTCTCATTACTAGGGCAGGAAATGGCTGGGATTGTTACATACCTGGCGGCCCAGGGGTGCCACTCGGCCAAGACACACAGGGCCCTGGCTGCCCCATCGTGGTGTCGAGGTCCCCAGCCCTTCCCTGATCCCAGGCTCGCGACCCCATCTGACCCGGGCCACATGGGGCTGATTGCAGTGTGGGAGCCCCAGGCAGGGGAGTGGGAGTTTGGGGGCGAGCATCAGGGTCCCTAACTTAGGACCAAGACACTGGCAGCCTGGTTGGAGGGGCCTCCCTCCCGAAGTCTGGGGACAGAAGTCTCCTCTGAGGATGAGGGTGGTCCTGGGAGACAGCATCTTCCACAGGGCAGGGAGACCCCAGCCCAGCCCAGCCCAGATGGAGCTGGGGTGGGGGCTTAGTGCCCTCTGGCCTCCCTGTCCTGTCCCCAGCCTCTGCTAGCTCAGAATAAGCCAGACTCTCTCTCCAGGCGAGGCTCCTGGTGGGGCTGCCAGAGGGGAGAGGTGCAGCTCCCCCACAGAGCACTTGCCTCACATAACCTGTGAGCCTTCCTGCCTCAGCCTCAGCCCAGTCAGCCTCCCCTCCCAGCCCAGGCTGCCTGAGCCTCTGTCCTTCTGCCTGCTGCATGGCCAGGATGGGGTTAGAAGGAGCAGGGGACACCCCACTGTCCCCGGGTCACCTGTCCTCTCAGCGGGGCTCAGGGGCTGCTGTCTGGGGGGCCTCTGTGGGCCTGGGCCTCCTGTGGTCAGATGGGCTTAACCTCTGACCTGTGACCTCTGCCACCACGTGACCTCCAGGCTGAGTCCAGTGAGAGGAGCGGGATCTGTGAGGGGCCTGGTGCAGCATCTGACCGACAGGGGCTGGGAGGATGGAGGGTCTCATACTCTGCCCAAGGCTGATGCCTGGGCTCCTGGGTACCTCCTGGGGAACTCCACTTGGCCATGTGGGAGGAGGCTGAGGGGGTTCAGGTTGAAGGGGCATCTTGGGGACCCCTGTGACAGGACCCTGCTTCTTCCCTGTCCCTTGCTCCCACCACCTGCAAAGTCAGGGCAGAGCCACTGCCCCCCAGGCCTGGGACATCCAGTTTCCTGATCTTGTGTCCCTGAGGACACTCAGAACCCTGCTTTTGTCTGGCTGTGTCTTGGGCTCAGCCCTGCTCTGCAGTGAGGATCCTTCCTGGCTCTGCTGGCTTTTTTTTTTTTTAAATTTAAAAATATTTCTTTTTGTTTTTTTGAGACAGGGTCTCACTATGTAGCTCAGACTGATCTGGAACTCACTATGTAGCCCAGGCTGGTCTTGAACTCACAGCGATCCTTCTGCTTCAGCCTCCCAAGTGCTGGGATTACAGGCATGCACCACCATGTCCAGCTGAACCCAAGAGTTTTGCACTGAACTGTATCTCCAGCCCCTTTTTATTTTTTATTTTGAGACAGGGTCTTGCTAAGTCACCAAGTTGCCCAGGGTGGGCTTGAATTTGTGATCCTCCTGCCTCAGCCTCCCAGAGTGCTGGGATTACAGGTGTATGCCACCATGCCTGGCGTGAGTCTGAGTTTTGTGAACTTAGAACCCCTCTCAACCTTGGGGCTGGTGGGCTGAGTCAGGGTGTGTGGTGGGGGGTTGGCCTTCAGCTGGGCCCTGCAGCCATCCTGCTACACCACACACATCTGGAGTGTGTTCCACCCCCAGCCCAGGTCCACATCTGGAGACCAAAGCCGGCTTGCTGGCGAAGCGGAGCATCTGGACCCCAAAGAGCAGAGGCTGGGTTAACGAGGCCCATCTGGGGCCCTGGCTGCGCTCCGCCCCGTCATTACCGGCTCCATCGCTGCAGCAGGGTGCCGGCTGAACATCTGGAGGGCTGGAGCCCGGCTGCCGGTAGCTGCTCCGCCGGGGTCCAGCCTGAGGCAGGCAGGGGTCCTGTGCAGAGCGCCCAGTGGCCGTGTGCACCACACTGCTCTCAGGCCCTCCCGGGGCTGCCTGGACACAGCTCAATTCTGACTTGTGTGGGACACATCCCTGCCCCGGTGCCGACAGCTGCCACTCTGCACAGCCCACCCACAGATGCCCATTGGCCTCACTTGAAAGAGCCTGCACCCCCGTGGGAGCCTAGGGCGCCACAGGGGGTGCCACCGGCTGCAGGGGGGATGGAACCCACCTCCTGTCACTTCTTGTCACTTCTCCCTCCCCTCCTTCCTTCCCCGGTGCTTGGTGGCTGGGGAGCTGGACATCACCCAGGGCCCCAGCCTGGGAGAAGAGAGGGACCTGGACGACATGCGAGGGCTCAGACCTAGGCAGAGACCCACTCTGGGAGGAGACCGGATGGCCTCTCTTCGCTCCTCTGTGGTGGCTTTAGATCCTTGTGGCTCACTGGTCACACGTGACCTTCCCCCTGCCGGAGCCTGCAGTCACCGCACTTAGCGGGAGTGAGTTCCCTGAAATGGGGAGATCCAAGCTGGCAGGGCTGCCCTGTGTCAGGAATGCAGCCCTCACAGGGAGCCTGAGGCCGTCAGACAAGCTGTAGAGCTGTCCTGAAGCCCACGGTTCTGTGCCGCAGCCTCCTCCAAGGAGTTTGAGCCCTGATGGGAGGGTGGAGAGCGGTGGGCTGGTGTCCGGGGCTTGGCACGCGGGGGCTGGGTGCGAGGGCGAGTGGAGGGACACAGGGGAGCAGCAGCCCACAGCGCGGGCACTGGGGCCTTTGCAGCCTGGCCTCCACTCTGGGGCTGCCTGGGGCCCAGGCTGCGCTCAGGCGCCTGGTGCTCCTGCATCCTGAGGTCCAGCCTTATCTCAGCATCGCGGGCCCAGAGGAACGGAACCCTGCATCGCCGACCTCCAGCCTGGGGCCCTGGAGCAGCGGGCAGTAGAAACCACAGCACTGCATGCCTCCCTCTCCGCCTCCTTGCTGCGGAAAATGTGAGTCAACACCGCGCAGGCCCAGGCCGGAGACACAAATAACAAAGAGGGCGAGCGCGGAGGGAGCCTTTCTGGGGGCCAGATGCTCTCCTGGGGCTCCACTGGGCTGACTTCTTCCAGCTGCGCCCTGCGTGGAGCTGTGGCCATCTCCAGCCCGTTTCACAGATGAGGAAACTGAGGCTCAAGGGCTGGGATTCAGAGCAGGCAGCATAGCCAAAAAGCCCACAGCTTTCACCCGGCTGCTGCAGCCTTTCTACAAACTGGGGGGAGGTGGGGACAGCACCAGCCTGAGTGTCATTCTGGTACCGCCCCTGCTTTCAGAAGCACAATG